CAAATCTACCCCCTCCCCCCATCTCCCCCAAAACTCCGGCTTCAAGACTTCTCGGCACTGGAAGAGTGGGCGATATTTTTATGCGGGGAAAATGGCCTGTATGCATCTCGTCGGAGAGGCTGTGGATCGATAGACAGCGCCTCTGTGTGTCAGGGCCCTCCGAAGCCAGGCCTGGCCACCAACTATGGGCCTCCAGTCGCTCTGTGTTGTCAGGACGCCCGGGAAAATGTGCCGAAAATGGAGCAGCAGTTGTCTTTTGTTGGTGATTGTTTTCTTGATGGATATAAGCAAGGCTCTGGACAAGGTTCACATAGGTAGGAAGGAGAGCATGTATAGCGTTGTTTCTATGTCTATTTACCCGTCCTCGTTGTTGTTCGTGCGTGTGTGCTTGTGAGTATAATATAACGTGTGTGAGTGCGTGTGTATGTGTGTTCTGGTGTGCGTGTGGAAGAGAGAATGGTTGGTGGTATCAGGAAAAAAAACAGAGGACCGGGGTGGTTGTGAGTTTGTCTAATTTTGGGAGGTCTGGGTATTTAAAACTAATACTACTAATACTACTAAAAATAATAATAATAAAAATGATGATGATGATGATAATGATAACAACAATAAAAATAACGGGAATTTGTTCCAATTCATAGAAGGCTTTAAACGTTGTACAATGCAGAGCCTATCACTCATCTGTGCTGACGAATCAAAAGACAGGAAAATGCACATTGTGAGACCATCGTTGTGAGTGTGAGGAGAGTTGAGACAAGCTGTGAGCGAGGACGAGAAATGTGACTGAGACAATGGACTTGTGGCACTGGGTGGGAGATAGAAAATTCGTAACGGTTTTTTGGGAGTTTTCTCAGAGTATCTCATTAGGTGGTTGCTGGGTGCTCTGGTGTGGTGTGCTTATTTTTTTCAATTCCAACATCTGTTGTCCTTATCTCTCGTTTTTTTTTCATCAAACATCTTCCGTCCTTATCTCTCCTTCTTCTTTTCCACCACTCATCCATCGTACTTAAGTCCCCACCTTCTTTCCTACCCATCATTTTTGTCGTTATCTGTGCTCCTTCTTTTCTTTGTATGTTCGTGTCTAATCGGACTTGTAATCTCGGAATTTATGCAACCTATTAAAATATGTGTTAAAAATACCCGAAAACGCTAACTACAAGTTTACTCCATTGCTGAAAGTCATCTGGCTGCGTTGTGCTCTGCATCTCTCTCTCTCTCTCTCTCTCTCTCTCTCTCTCTCTCTCTCTCTCTCTCTGTCTGTGTGTTTTTGTGTGCGTGTGTGTGTGTGTGTGTATGTGTGTGTGTTTGTGTGTATGTGTGTGTGTGTTTGTGTGCGCGCGCGCGTGTGTGTGTGTTTATTTGTTTGTTTCTTTGTGTGGACGAGTATGCGTCTAAGTGCATGTACCCGGGTCTTCAATCTGCAAGAAAGAAAGAAAGACTGCGGAGAGCCAGGGCACAAGGAAAACAAGACTAAGTGTAAAAAAGCCATGCAAGAGAAAAGAAAGAATTGTTCATCAACAAAAGCTTTATTCAAATGATGAGAAGAGCAAAAACTGGGAAAAAAACATAATCATACGAAAAATAAGTTGGATTGAGAAAGAGAGAGAAAGAGAGAGAGAGAGAGAGAGAGAGAGAGAGAGAGAAC